ACATTTAGTAAAAATTATACTACATATTGGTTAATAGAAGAAAATGAAAAACAGTTATATGTAGCTTTCTCTTTTCTTATAGTTTTAAACTAAATTTTAAAGTTGTACTCCCATATAAGATCATATCCGATTATCTGAAAACACTACTTTAAATCATATCAAACTTAAAATTCCCATATAAGATGATATCAGATTATATCAGATCAAACTTATACAGATCAGACTTCAGCAATTGTAAATTACGCATAGAACAATCATATATCCGCGGGGGCACGATCACATAATGTAAAATAATTTAAAGGGACCACTGTTATAACAATTTCTCTAGACGCCCGACTGGTCCGCCTAGCATTTGGCGGTGACCGGACGCTAGAAATTTAGTCTAGGCCGGCATCTGAATATTTAATTAGTATGGCGCCAATATCAATTAGGCGTCTTTCTAGGGCGCTCAGAGCGTCTAATTGGTTGCCTAGGACGTCTTGATTCCCTTAACAATTTTTTTCTTTTTATTTTATTTATAGGAAATATATGTACTATTAACCTTAACTATAAATATGAAGAAAGATACTTATATATTAAGATAAAAACATTTTTTTTACTATTCTTAACGTTTATAGGTATTTATGCAAAAACATCGGTAAATATATCATTCCCATGTCTCTGACTAGCTAGTCTTCACCTAGGCATCCTCCTACCCGCTAGACTATAGGATGCCGTCCGACTAACGCAACATTTTTACATTGATTATGTGTTATATTTGTGAGAAATTTATATCTTTTATACTTTTATGAAAATATTTTTAACAAAAAACATTTTTCCATAATATTCATACTTTAAATATTTTCCTATTAAAAATATCATTGGTCATGGTTATCATTGATCAAGAATAGTTAATATGAGCAAGTTTTATGAAGAGGGAATACAAAAGTAGGAGTTAATCATATTAATTATTTAATTTCAAAACTAAACAAAATATTTATGTATAGATGCATACATGTATTTAGAAAAATCTGATCTAAGCTCTATTTGTTCAAGATTAAAAAGTCTTGAAGAGAGAGTACTTATATTTTAACTTAATAATTACATGTAATATGGAGTGCAAAGTATTTTCTTGGCATCAATGTGCTCAATAAAGAGCACGCCACATGCTCGCTACAATTTCTGCTATAAATCCAATTTTTGAAACTAATCATCTTAGTTATCTTTTACCAAAGGGAAAAGGGGCAAATAAGCCCTCGAACTAATAAAAAAAGTGCAAATAAGCCCTTTTGTAGGAGGTTCCGTCCGGTCATCGTCATTTGGGGAGGTTCACGGTGGAATTTTTTGATGAAATTTTTTGAGCATCTTATTCATTAAGTCTAGTTTAGTCCTACTGAATTTCAGCTAAAAATTCAATCGGGAAGACAGTCAAATGAATTTTTGAAGATAACTGCGCAGTTAAACAACGCAGTATATTTCCGAGAATCATTTGTGTGCCTTCCCGGTTGAATTTTTAACTGAAATTCGGTATGGCTAAACTAGACTTAATGAAGAAGATGCTCAAAAAAATTCATCAAAAAATTCCACCGAGAACCTCCCCAAATGACAATGATCAGACGAAACCTCCTACAAAAGGGCTTATTTGCACTTTTTTTATTAGTTCGAGGGCTTATTTGCCCCTTTTCCCTTTACCAAATTGTGGTACAGAGCCATCATATCACAATACAAAAAAGAAAAATTATTATTTTTAGCAATCCAAATAAAAGAAAATGGAATATAATGTTGCAGCCTTACTTGAATTGGCTACACCACTTCATGATGTGCATACATATAACCTCTTTTAGCATTGATTTTATTTGTTGGATTGGATCATTGAAGGTTATCCAAAGAGAAACAGCTCCACACTGGGTAAAAAGAAGTACTGGTTCTTACGAGGCAAATCAAAAGGGCGGGATAATCAGGGGTGCTGGAAAGCTTGTGGGTAAGTTTACTGGCTATATAAAATGATGATTAAAATTAAATAGTATACCCATACAACACAAAAAAATGCATTTCAAGCCATTTTTATGCCTAACAGCCCAATTTAATGAAATGAAATCACATTTTTTTTAATTTTTTTATGTCAATAAATAATAAAGAATGAGAATTAACCAGTTGTATACTTGTACACTTGTAGAGATCCTTAACAAGCTATCCTTAATCATCGGTGCTAAATAAGTAATCAAAGCATAACCGGACTTGACTCTGATACCATATTAAGACCTTCCATTTTAAAAGATCAACCTGGTAGCTAGGAGGAATAACTCAAATCCTTATATTGTATTTTATAGTTTTATATCTTCTAGTGGGGCAATACTTTAGCAGTTTGTTTAATTTTATACAAAAGCCAAAATTATTCAATCAGTTATTACTGACTGTACATGTGTAAAAATTAAATACGGAGTACTACGTATTATACATAGAATAAAGAACGACTCTCTCTTTTGGGGGATGTGATAGAGTATACTCCGTATCTTACGTGCATCAAATCTCTAATTTTTTTTATGTGATTGCCTTGTACAGCGGTGACGATTGCTGTTATTATTTATTTTGCTGTTTCGAGCCCTGTCTCCCCACCCGAAAACCTGCCGGGAGTGGCTGAATGCCTGAATGAATGGTTCATTATTACAATAATGATCTAATCTATTTCCCCAAATACCATCTTAATTATATGTAATCGTTTATAAATTTTAAGACCATAATCCTCTCATGTAGTCATGTCCTTTTGGTGTTTTATTTTTTACTTATACAAAAGAGTGTTATACGTAGTAGATAATTAAGTGTCTTATACAAGATTTTATTACTTATACACCAAGTGCATTAAGGGATTTTTCCTTTATGATTCAGCTTTATAAGGCTTTTAATTTGCTTGGAGTAGTATAGTGACTGATTCAACCTAAAAACCGGTAGAATTGGATACTTCAAACGTTCTAGAAACTGCACCATTTATCACCTACCCTTTGTGGATGATATGATCATCTTCTTCAATGGCGCTACCAACTTTTATCAACCTTCAGATCATTCCTAGTGCAATATCAAAAGGATACTGGTCAATTATAGAATCATATAACAATGCGTACCCTTCTTGTTTGTAACAAGAAAATACCAACTGTGAGAAGAGCAGGGGCGGATCCAAGAACATGAGATGTCCTGCGCTGAATAGAAATTATACTAGGTTTAAATATTAGCGGGGTGGGCTAAATGTTAAAAGTGAAAAAAATTACAATAAAAAAATTGAAAAAATTCTAAGTTGCACTGGGCTTTAGTCTATCATAGCTCGTACATAGATCCTCCCCTGGAGAAGAGTAGATATATATGGAGACAGGAGAGTGCTGGTACAAAAAAAATGGAGAGGGCTGCTAGTATGAAGAATGAAGTGCCTGATACTCCTCGTCACCCCTTTAAATATCTTGGTACTTAATTGGATCAATCAAGGGGTAACTGCTTACTAGGATTGGGCACTTTAAACAAAAAACATACTCCCTCCGTTCTCCATTAGTTGTCCCTATAGGGTTTGACATAAGTTTTAAGAGAAAAGTAATAGGGGTAGTGTAAAAGGTGTAGTGGGTTGTGTTTAAATGAAAAAGTAGGAAAGAGAATAATGAAAAAGTAGGAAAGAAAATAAGGGTAAATGAGTATATTTATTGAAAAAACTTTCCAAAAATGGAAAGAGAGACAAATATTAGAAAACAACCCAAAATGGAAAGAGGGACAAGTCACTACTACATTTTCGGGTCTAATGTAACGTTACGTTTGTAACAGTTCGTAAAAATGTTACATTAAGTTCATCTATTGTAATGGTTATATATCATTTGGTTCATTTGCGTAACTACCGTTACATACTGTTACATTTGGTTTTATCTATTGCAATGGTTATATATCATTTGATTCATTTGCGTAACTACTGTTACATATTGTTACATTTCGTATGATTCTAATGTAACACTATCTTTTTTTAAATTTTTTTTATTACAACTGAATGGGTGCTTTTATTTAATTGGCATCTCAAATAAAACGTTTGCAATGATAAGTTGAGTAAGAAATAAGCTAATGTAAAAGATATCGGAACAAAATGGGCGCTTCACGTAGGACCCAAACTAATGGCCAAGTGGCCCAAAATAAATTTTTTAGTAATAGTATTACTACTGGTCCATTACTCTAATGCTCCATATTAGTTAGCACACTTTAGAAAAAAGGTGCGGGAGATAGTGATGGCAACGGGGCGGATCGGGGACGGGTACACATAAAATCGGAACCGCCCCGTTGGATAAATGTTTGCCCCAAAACCGCCCCATTACCCATTCGGGTAATTTTTATTTGAACCGTACCCGCCCCAACGGGGAATCGGTTTATCCACGGGTAACCGTTTCCCCAAATGATACCAAATAACCAACTTTTTTTGGGAAAACAAATAACCAATTTTTAATCCTACTTGTTATTTATATATTCAAAGCACCCTAAAACATACAAAAATAAACATTTAAGCAATCAAGCAGACTGACCTAAATTCATTAGTATGACATGTACCCAATATCTCTTGTAACATAATAAAAAAGTAGTAATCATCCCAGAATCCAAATTTTAAAAATAGGTTTAGGCCTATATTTAGTTTTAGGCCTAAAAATGTAGTATACTTTTTAGCATTATTTATATGATATATACTATTTATTATACACAATTTAGCATATATAGTTATTATTCTTATATATAAAAAGTTATAATTTATTAATAATATTATCGATCGGGTAACGGTGCGGGTACCCGCACCACTAGTGAACGGGGCAGTTTCGGGGCGGATAACGGGGTGGATTAGTATAGAACCATAACCGCACCATTAACCATTTAAAAAATTCGGGTATTCCCCGCCCCGTACCCATTCCCCAGCCAAACCGGTTTTCCCCAGTTTGACCAAATCGGTTCAGTGCGGGTATCCAACGGGTCGGTCGAAATTGCCAATCTCTAGCTGGAGATGGGGAGTAAGCAAAGAGGACAAGGGTGAAGGCCGAACTGGCATCGCGATCAGAGGAAGACCAAACTGCTAAGACCGAAGGGCGTAGCGAGCGACGAGCTGGTGACTCTCCGTCTCCAGCCTCCTTCCAGGCTCCCCTTCAGCCTCCACCTTTCCTGAATTCTGAGTCGTTGCGGCGGTGCGGCCTTTGGACGGCTGCGGTTCTTCACTTCTTCCCATCGACAATCGGATCCACTCATCCAGGGCTGACTCCACTACTCCGGGTAAGTTCGTAACTAATAATTGTTGTTTATAAATTAATTTTGGAATCGAGTTCAACAAAGTGATTTTAACTGGTTATTAGGTTGCTAAATTTGTAATTGTTTCAGTGTATAATTTATTAAGTAAATAACTTATTCTTGGATTCATAATTGTTAGTTGATACGGAGTACTAGTAACTTCTATTTTTAAAAATTTACCATTTCAGTTGAAATAGCATATCTACTGTGATAGAAAAGAAAGGCCTAATATAAATTTATTACGATAGTATTTGTCTAGTTGTAGGTTCAGAGAATGGGCAATTTATTTGTTGGAACCAATCAAGAAGCATCAATGGAGGAGATAATGGAAGGAGTCATCAACAACAACGTTAACGCCGGTGAACTTCATAAGAAGAATCGCATTCAGGTCTCCAGTTCCAAGAAGCCTTTGTTCTTCCATGCCACACAATGGCAGCCACAAATGACTTTGCTAACAAATGCCTAAAAACACAGAAAACAAAATGTCTTTTGCTAACTATTAGAAGTTGGCTTTGGCGGTTAAGCAAAAGAAGTGGTTACGTACACTTTGAGAAAAAAGGCCTAATTTTTGGTGTTGCATATGGCCCTCGTTTTCTCGGGACCTGCCCTGCTCATCGCAAACGCTCGCTCGATCGTTCCCCTTGATCTTTTGCACTGTCCGTCTTAAGATTTGATTGCCTAAAAAAATTTAGCTTCAATTTATTTTATTAGCATATCTGAGTGTCAAAAATAAAATCTCATCATTATTATGTACATCTTTAAGTTATTCTTCAAGAAAATACATGAAGCAATAAAATATTAAACTCCAAGTTTTTATTTAGCACTATTTTGAAAAAAAAATCAATAAAAACTACTCCGTACGAGTTTAATATTTTACTGCTTCACGTCTTTTCTTGAAGAATAACTGAAAGATGTAGATAATAATGATGAGATTTTATTTTTTCACCCGGATCTACTTATGAAAAAAATGAAGTTAAAAATTTTTAGGCAATCGAATCTTTAGATTTTTGTAAAAAGTGTTTGACTAAAAGCTGATATAGATTAAAAAGTGTAAGAATTTAACTAGAAACTATGATGGGTGAATATATAGACTGTGTTAGTAAGGAAAAAAGGCTAAAGGGCCAAATAGGCTCCTGTACTGGTCGTGTAAGCACAATTCAGTCTCTGAAAAAAAGTTCACTCCATACCCCGAATCGACAAAAAATGGTTCAAATTTCATTTTTTACTGGTAAACAACTAGTCATTTTTAATTTTTTTATTGTTTCTGTTTTTTTATTTTCGATGTTTTGCAATTTCAACACTTTTTAATAGTTTAGGGGTCATGTACGTTGTGGTCTGATGGCATCACTGTGGCATTCCCAAAGAGGTCACATGTTTGAATCTCATCTCAGTTCAAGGATGTTGGCATTAACATTGAGCAGATACTATATAGGTTAGAAAGAATTGTCCAAAAAAAATAATTTAGGGGTGTGAATCGGACATATTTTTACCAGTTGTTTAACAATAAAAAATGAAATTTGAACCCTTTTTTGCCGGTTCGGGTTGTAAATGGAACTTTTTTTTTGTTCATAGATTGAATTGAGCTTGCACGATCGGTAGAAAGGCCTATTCGACATGGTGAATACGGGGAATCAGTGATAATTATAATTAGTTTTTTTACTGTATATGGTCTTCAAAAAAATTAAACTTTACATAGTCAATATTGGTGTCATATGAAAGATAAAAAAAAGTTATAAAATTTGATATATTTTTTTTTTAAAATTGAAGCAAGAATATGAAAGTTATTACGGAGTACAATTTAAAGAAAAAAGATAAATTATTTTACTTGGACCCCACCACCTATTCTTCCCATACGTCTAGGGATGGCAATGGGGCGGTTCGGGGACGGTTTTACATATAACCGTACCCGCCCCATTTGATAATTCCCCGCCCATAACCGCCCCATTACCCAACGGGTAATTTTTTCCCAAACCGTATCCGCCCCAACGGGTAACGGGTATAACCACGGGTAACCGCGGGTAATCGCTTTATTAAATGAGTGATTGATATTTTAATATAAAAATAATATTTTAAAAGGCAAAAAATGACATCACCTAGATGACGCTAGACTGAGACGTCACTTTAAAGTTTCGTATATCTACAAGACGAGAAAGAAGACAACATAAATTAATTTGAACCTAAAAATACTTTATCTGAAAAATAATTATTCACTAAAAAATATGATAATAATCAAACAAGACTATTAAGATCTATTATGAACTCTCATTGAACATTATAGTTAGTACATCTATTATCCATATACTTAATGAAAATAGAAAAAAATTCATCTTCATTTACTTATGGGACAAATAATAGATAAAAATGTAATAAAAATATAACTAAAATAAACGGGGCGGGTACGGGGCGGGTAATGGGGCGGGCATGTATAAAACCGTAACCGCCCCGTTACCCGTAAAAACAAAACGGGTATTCCCCGCCCCATACCCGTTACCCGGTCAATGCGGTTTTCCCCGTTTTGACCGGGGCGGTTCGATTCGGGTATCCATTGGATCGGTCACAATTGTCATCTCTACAGACGTCTCCCATCTAACATGCACGCACATGTTCCGTATTTTTTAGGTGTGGTAAAAAAATGTGGAATGTCATTATCAAGTTGAGATCATATTTCAACACCCTAATACACGTCTAAGTATGCGTTGGAAAGTTCCTGAAATATATGTGAAAATAATGTAAATTTTCAAAAGAGTAGTATCACTACCTCCGTTCCGTTGAAAGGTTGTCACTTTCTTTATTTGAGTGTCATGTTTAAAGGTTCTCATTCCATTTTAGAATATAATTTACTCTCTTTAATTACATTTTTACTCAAATTTCTCTTTCATACTCATTACATGTGAAGTTTCACATTCCCACAACTTATCTCGCTTTAATCGCTTTCACTTTATATGTTTACTTTTTCTAAACTTTCATTTTTCTCTCTTTCTCACCCAATTATTTTGTTTAATCACTTGTCTAAAAAAATCGTGTCATTTGCCTACGGCAACCTTCCAACGGGACGTAGGAAGTATATTTTTATTCACTAAACGTTCATGACCAATCTCTAATGTAACAGTACTCTAGTGACAAATGAACTATTTTTCAGACATAACAATAACTAATTATGTTTATTGAAAAATGTAGTGGTCATATTTTTAAATTTAACATTATGACAATCTTTCTATGTCACACACACATGTTCACACACGTGCATACATATATGTGTGAGTATTTTATCGTGCATATCAGACCGCCCTAATGGAATGCCGCCACGTTAATTCCATTTTTGATTGACAGAAATTCAAATTTATAATCCAATTTTTTAGTTATTAGTATCAATTATTAGTGTGGATTGTTAATTAGATTTTAATTACTATAAAAAATTAAATTTTAATTTTGTTGAAAGCAGACTCTTTAACCTCACTTTTTCACCTCTAAATACTACTCTAGCCATTATTAGTATTAATTTATCATAGAAACCATTTTTAAAGAGAAAGAATGGCCCATTAACATCATTTAGTACTAATTCAAAAGGTCTTGGTGTACACCCTACGTTACACCTTGGAGTACACCATATATAAGACTTATTTTTTACTGCTTTCTTTACCCCTTCCTTTCACACAACCCTCTCATCCTCACGCACGTTTCTTTCTCTCCCACATCCTTCACCTTTGTTCATTCTTTCTTCCCGCCTTTCTCTCTGTTTTTTTTGCAAATATCATGATGATTTTCTAGCATATTTGATGGTGGATGGAGAAGGGACCGGAAACGGAGCATTGGACGATTCCTACCTGCAACGGACGACGGAGGACGGAAATGGAAGAAACGAAGAAGCTCTAAACATTGGAAAAGGTGGACCTGTGAACGAACAAGATGGAGTTGCGACGGAGGATGAAAATGGTGGAGTTGTGAACGAAGAAGATGGAGCTCCATGCAACGTTGGGCATGAAGACTTAGATGCAATGGGTGGCGGAGCTGCGACACAAGGTGGCAACGAAGTTTCGATCTTTGACGATCGGGATGATGACAGCTTTATTAAGGGCTACAATTCGATATGCGGTACACTCAAAACGGATAACGGGTTGATGAGAAATTGATTTTCGAAGTTCACTCGTTGAAATGGAGAAAATAGGAAAATGATGGATTTCTAGTTTGTTATTTCCCACACCGGAAAACCCAAGGGATTTTCAACCCATTATAAAGGGAACCCTCTTTGAAAAAGTTAAGATTCCTAAGTGGAAAGGCTCTGTGATCTTCGCGCACGGGGCCTAATCAAATCTCGAAAGCGGAGAAGAAAAACACCGACTTACGTGTGTGGGCGACGTGACCTGCGGACACAAATTTTTGGTTCTTCCCGTAACGTTTCTATTTTGCTCCAGGACAGCCTGCTACTGGGAGCAAGCTGCTGTTCGTGCTGCACGGTAAGTAACATGTAGCTGTTGAACCGTTACAGCCATAAATGTCCAACGATCTAATGCCATTTTGCAGTGTTAAATGGACAGTTCACGACGATTCAATGCCCAACGGACTGGTCATGTATGTCCACCGTTTAGGTCCATTAACTCATGATTAACACACAACAAATCGTCCCTATAAATGGCTCGCAGGTGCTTTGCATAAAACAACAACACACAACTCTAACATATTCTGCAAATTTCCTTAGTGTTTAAACCGTGTTTTCGTTCTCCGGAACAATTCGTTTGAGTGCTCAACGATTGCTCGTAATCATCGTGTACAAGGAAACGATTGTTGCAACGTTCCTAGCACCCAGGGAGACAACGAATACGTTTTAAGGATATTGTGCATAGCACAAGCTTTGACTAAATTCTGCTTCATCCTTTTTCTGGTTTTTTTAGTCATTTTAATTAATTTTGTTAATTAATTTTCTTTGTTTTTCGACCTACACCCAACATCTACTATAGTTGGACATGTGATATATGTGGTTTAACGGCCAGGTAGTTTGACTCGTAAGTTTGTGGGAACTGTGAATAGAAGTTAAGCTTAAAATACTTGCTGTACAGAACCCAACTATCTACTTTATACTACCTTCGTTCTTAAATAAATGCAACACTTTGACTTTTACACTATTCATATATTCTACTTTGACTACGTTTTATTTATTAATGTAATAATATTATTTTATAAAAAAAAATGTTAAATTTTCATAATCTAATTTTTTAAATTTTTTTACTAATACAAAATCATTTATATTAATGATCAAAGTTGTGTCTCGGCAAGTGTGAAATGTTGAGCGTTGCATTTATTTATTAAGAACGGAGGAAGTCTATTCGTTGTTGTGTTATCTGTATGGACTCGTGTACCGATTTTGAGAGTGTTTGTTAAAACTTAAAAAAGTATTTTTCAGCTTTTGGCTTGAAAAGACTGAAAAAAGTGTTTTCATATGACAACTTCGGTTTAAATTAAGCACTTAAAAGTTAAAATCTGGAAGCACGTGGAATGATACCTTAAACTGCTTTTCAGGTTTTGTATTATACAAAAATCACTTATTTTACCAAACACTACCAACTTTTACTTTTCCATAATAACTTTTTTTCTCAAACACTACCAACTTTTACTATTAAGTACTTTCTCCAAAATTACTTTAAATAATCACTTTATTGAAGTAGAAGCAATCACAAATACTCCCTTAATTGATGTGCAACTGCTGAAAATGTAATCAACTTTCACTCCCAATTTATCTAGAATTTTTTCTTAAAATGAAGTTACGTGAACAGTGGCAGATCTTGAACATTAATTTTGATGGTTCAAATTATTTTATAAGTTTTGAATTTTCATATACATATATAAAATTTAACACTAACACTCTTATACATGTATTTTTGCACTATTAGTTAAAAATTTTGGGTGTTCACATGAACACTTTTGAACAACTATAAGCAGGGGCGGATCCAGGATTTCATGTTGGACTGGGCTGAAAAACTTAATTGATAATACATTAAAAAAATTCAAAATAAGCAAAAAAAAAAATTAAGAGTTCTCCACTAAATTTGTTTTCGACGAAGCTTTGAAACAAAAAAACTCGTCAATTAGATAAATAGTCTATAGGTCCGCGGTTGAAATGGATAAATGGTATCTCAACTATTGGTATTGTTGCATTTTCGTATCTCAACTTTTTAATGAATCAAACCAGTAACATAACTATACATAAATGTTTCAACTTGCAATTTTATTCAAATTTGAGGCAAAAAATTCTACATGGCCATCAAAATTTCATGTATAGAGTCACTCTACAATGATGACATGGACAAAAGGAAGGTGAAATGGACTTCACACATAGAATTTCGATCGCCATGTATGTTTTTGCGGTCAGAAATTTGAATAAAATTGCAAGTGTAAACATTTATATATAGTTATGGTACTACTTTGATTCATTAAAAAGTTGAGATATCAAACAACAAAAATATCAATAATTAAGATATCATTCATACATTTCACTCGCCCCTGCACGGCTCCATGTGAATGGCAAGTTGTATTCTAGGGGGGCAATTTAGGGACAGACGGTCCCATTGTTATATACGGAGTACATAAAGATTTTTAAACTTCATTCCTCTGTTGAGAGTTTAATTTTTATTTATTCCTATTTAATACTACCTCTGTAACGTTGGAATCTTCACAAATTGAAAGTGGGTGAGATTATGAAAGTGATAATTGATATAATTTATTGAGGGTATGATGAGAAGATAATAAAATAGTGTGGTGGAATGAATGATAAATCCAAAAAATAGGTGTAATAGAATACTTTTTTTAACATTATTGAAGGTATGATGAGAAGTTTTAAAAATGAAAAGATTATTTAATTACAGTTAAAAATGGGAAATAAGAAGATCTTTACATCATGGGGTAGTAACAATAGTTGAATTCGGGCCGGGGCCGGGGTTGAATGCACAAAAAAAAGTGGGGAAATTTGGGAGCTATGATTTTGGGAATGGGAAGAAATGCGTCACAGGCATAGAATCAGTAGTTAAAGGAGCAGGGTAGGAAGAAGGTGGCGAAATATTATTAGTCGTGGCAGCTATGGAGGATCGAGGGACCATCCATCAAATTGCCGAGCTGTTGTAAGCGGCCGCCGGAGAAACCCGCTCCGCCAATCTTGTGACGGCTGTCTAGCCCTTGGTCGTAGAGAATCCCTTTGAAGACGTGGCCTGCTATGTTGACTGACGTCTGGTATGCATATTGGTGATTAGTGTCCTCCCTAGAATGGTCAACGGAACTCAAACGCAAGCATCTAAAAACCGCCGGAAAACTCACCTCCGCCGGAAAATTGCTCTCTTCTCCTCCTGCATCCCAATATTTATAATCATTAAAAATTAGTGAGACACATTTTATATGCTATCTTTGTTTTGGTCATACATCAATTATTTTATATAAGAGAATATTACTTGAAATAAGAATAAAAAAGTATGAAAATTCCAAAATAGGACTGTCATGTTTATATTCCCAAAATAGGACTAATTACTGTCAAGTTTTGGTAGTACCAGACTTCAAACGTGGCAGTATTTTCTAAACTTAACAGTAATTACTCCTATTTTGGGAATAAAAAACACGACAGTCCTATTTTGGAATTTTCAAACTGTTTTAGTCCTATTTCAGAAATTTTCCCTTTTATATACCCTCAATTCCTCAAATAGCAATAAATTAAATTATTTTGCTTCCATAATACTTCATCCGTTCTTAATTAATAGTCCCTTTAGGCTTTGGCACAGGTTTTAAAGAGAAAATAATAAGGGAAATGTAAAAGGTGTAGTTGTTTATGTTTAAATAAATGATAAAGTGGAAAAGAGAAAAGAGTAAGAGTAATAAAAATGGGGGTAAAATGATATTTTGATTGAAAAAACTTATCAAAAAGGAAATAGAGACAAATAATTAAAAACATCCCAAAAAGTAATGCGAGACAGTTAATAAAGAATGGAGGGAGTAGGACTCATATTCCTATTTATGGAAATTTTGTATTGATTTCATATGATCAAATAAATGAGGAATTCGACTTTGCACTCCACTCTTTTTGTTATGCTGGACTTTGCATTCCATTTTCATATTCATTAATGTTTGTAGAAAAAAGATGTAAAGTCTAGAGCCTATTTGGTAATCATATTTTTCTTCTTATCAGGTTTTTCAGCAAACTTTTCACCAAACACATAACTTTTGATTTTGCATGATGAATTGTACGAAGTATAATAATAAGAAAAATTAAGGTTGAAGTAATTTTTTGACTGCATTGATTGAATTTACTGTAGAAGAACATTTTAGCAATTTTCATATAATTTTTCTTTATTTTATTAATAAAATATAGTTTAGATATAATTTTTACAAAAATCAGCGGAATCAGCCAATCCAGCCACTTCATCTAGGCCTTGATAGTTTCAGCAAAATCAGCCAATTCAGCCAAACTTCTAACATCGCCCCAAAATCATGGTGCAACGTCAAATTCTTCCTTAAATAAATTCTATTTTGACTCGATAAAATATTTAGTCTGGCCCATTTTAAAATTTTGAATACTCTCTCCGTGTCAAAATGTTTAATTTGCTACATTTTCCATTTAGAGTGTATTTGATTTTTTGCTATTCAAGAACCCTTATTTTTTTTTCTACCTTTTATTTTTTTCTCTATTATTTCTTTAATATTAATTTCCTACTTTTTTTTATATTACTCACCACTTGTATTTTATTTATATGTGCGTATATATTGTCTCAAATCCTATTACATCAAACATTTAGATAAAGAGTATCTTTAAATCAAGCCATTTCTTTATTATACTCCGTATACAAACTGTGGGTAAAGTGAGTGGGCTGGAAGTAATCAAGTAAGTACCGAAGATGGGAAGATTTTGGCGGCGCGGCGGCGGCATGAAGCGATTATTAGGGCTGGGAAGGCGGTGTAGCCTGGAGGAGCGTCGTCGTTGCTGCAGCCTTCTATGGGAAACGGGGACCCACGTGCTCTTCACGTGCGTTTCACACTTAAACCCTCTGCTCTTACAGCACGTTCTGCATCTCATGTATCCGCATTCTTTCTTTGATTGGTTCCCGCAGTCCAGGCATCTGCTGCTCGACGGCGATCTCCCCGCCGCCGCCCCTTCATCCTCTTCTTCTTCCACTCTTCTCATCTTCAATTCTTCTCTTTCCTACCATCCATGCATCCTAAAAGCCGCCGGAATTTTGTTTGTTGGTTTTGCCGTTTAGCTAACCTTAGCTTATTTATATATGTGTATGTATTGTATTGATTGATAGTCGTATTATTATCAGAACCATTATTATTATTAACTTCGTTCTTAAATAAGTGCAACATTATAAATTTTATACTATTCACATGTTCTACTTCGACTACATTTTATTTATTGATGTGTTAATATATTTTTTTGAAAAAACTATTACTAAATTTGTCTCATTGTAAATTTTCAAAATCTGATTTTTATATTTTTTTTATTAATAGAGAGTTATATATACTAATGGTCAAAGTTGTGCCTCGGCAAATGTGAAATGTTGACTGTTGCACTTATTTAAGAACGGATGTAGTACTTATTACTCCACTTGATTGAAAGCAGGCAGGCTTTATTTATTAATGAGTTAAATAATTTCCACCCGTGGCGAATAATATTACAAATATCCGGAGGTGGGTAAGGATGTTTTCATTTGGATTAATAATTTTAGGTCTAATCCGACATGCTTTAATCATTCAAAAAATTCATCGGAAAGGGACCCAAATGATATCGTATGATCGGGTATGTATTTCAAGAGAAATGATCTCTTCAAGCAGTATGCACGGGAAATGGGAATCGTCGTTCGGCCAAGATCATTTGAGTCCCTTTCCGATTAATTTTTTGAATGAAATTTTATGATCATGTTCAATAAAATTTAAAATATTGTGCACTATGTATATATAAAGCGCGTTATGTTTCAATAATTTAATTTACTGAATTTCGATTGAGTTTTAATCTGAAAATTTATGGGGCTACACTTCATGAAGAGTATGCTAAAAAAATCATCAAACAATTCCACGGGGAAGGACCCCAAATGTGATATTGTAAAGTAATTTCAAAGTAATTGTTTAAGAGTAAAAGTTTGTCACATTCTAATAAACAACTTTTATTTTAATCAGAAATATATAATTATTTCTTTTTCTTGATTAACCCTTCCACAATCCACTTGAGTTTTTAACCCTTCCACTTGATTTTGACACATAGAACCCGTTTGGTAACACTGAAATTGGCAAAATTTATGAAGTTCTGGCTAAAGTGACTATATAGACTGTTTCTGATGATTTATGAAAAATATAATTATAATTAAAATATATTATATCAATAAAATAAATAAAGAATTATCTGAAAATAGCTAAAATGGTCATCTACGATAACTTTAGCCAATTCACAAAATTAACTACAACCCTACTTTTTCTTTCTACAACGGCCAATTAAGCGCGCAAAATCAAAAATTACGTATTTGGTTAAAAAGTTGGTTAATAAGCCTGATAAACCAAAAAAATAGAATCACCAATCTGGCTCATAATCTTTAAAAATCTTGAAAAGGCATATTAAGTCATAATAACATTTATTTATAACATTAAAAAATATAGGAAACCCTATTTAAAGTGATATTCGAGTAACATTTAACTTATGATCAATTGGATTCATTATTCGTATATAATTCGTTAACTATATATTCATATTGTTATGCAAATACAAATCGAAATTAAATTCTCGTTTCATATTCAAATTCGAATTTATATTCAAAAAATTAAAATTAAACAAATACGATTGAAAATATATCACACTATTCGACCCAATTCGGTTCGTTTACAACCCTAGTGAGGGAGTCATCCACGACAAAGGGATATACAGGGTTTTGAATTTTAATGAGTATATTTTCCCTTATAAATTGTCCTTATAGTTTAAGTTATTATTTTTAAAAAAATAGAAATTCGAGTACTTAATTATTTAAATAGCAACACTTGCTTCGTATTTGAAAACACCAGTTTCGTAGTTTTTAAGTTAAAGATTGAAAAAAAATGTTGATTTCTTGCAAGCACTCCCATATATATATCCTCTTTGAAAATGGTTTAATGCACAACATCCCATTGTTGTGACATTTTGTGAGCATTAACCTCTAGTAGTTTAAAAAATACATCAACCCATTTTATTATAAGTAATTATGCACACAACATTATGAAACAACGAGTAAATATAATTAAACCGTTGTGAAAGCATGTACCATAGTGATGTATTGAAAAACACATGTAAATTGTCAAGATACCGAATTCAACATTTGTTCTATGAATTTTATCCAAACGTGCAAAACTATTAATGCATTTTTAAAATACATCAAAATTTGAGTATATTACATGGGCTATCGTGCATTATATTAAACGGACGTTGACAATATGTGGGACGGTTATTGTCCCTGCTCCACGTCCAAATATACACTGTACTGTGTGTTGTTCCATGGCCTCACTCATCACATGCATGAGGCATCATCATCAGCTTGTCATTGAACTTTAATTACAAGTCCGTGTTATCCATTGTAGGAATTATTTTGTGCTCCTAATTATTAGCAAGTATTAATAATGTCTATGAGCAAGTGCAACCAGGGCCAATCCCAGTTATGTTGGGGCAATTAATTAGTTAATTAATTAAATAAATTAGGGACATAAATGGAATGCTCAGTCCAATCTAAGGAAAATCAAACACAAGGTCCTACTTTTAAAAGAATGCTATGTTTTGATTGATCCTACTTTAAAAGCAATTTTCTCATATGATCATATCCAATTAGTTAGTTCATTCATATACTAAGAAACACTCTCTAAACTAAACTAAGTAGTATTACATTTTGAAACTTATGAAGTTTTTGGGATTGATTATGTTTTTGCTTCTTTTTTAAAAAACAAAACTAGAATAAGAATTAGTTTTTCAAAAGTTGGTCTCCCCCTACTTAAGAAATTGCTTTTAGGAGCATTTTGGAGCACTCGGAAGTATTTCTACACTTTTACCCAAACACTCCAATACCAAGCTACTTCCGTTCTTGGAGAAGCAGAAGCAGTTTTAAGAAACTGATACAAACACTCCTTAGGATGTTTATACTTGGAGTGAAATTTGTTGATCTAGTCTGTTTAAGTCTGACTTGAAGTGATCATCTGGTCTGAACTCATCGCGTAAATGTCTGATCTCTGTGTATTAAATAACTATGAAATTCTGATCTAGTATGGTCTATTCTTTTTCAGTCTAGTCTAATCTGGTTTATTCTTTTTAAATCTGACTTGAGAATGAAAACAATCCATCAAAGACATCTTTTGCCGTTTGAATACTTGCAAAGAATGGGTCCTAAATATGGAAGAGGGTCGGTCTATAGTTGAGTATATTGGGTAGGTTAGGTAGGGCTTAAGCAGACAAAATAGCAGCAGTCCATTAAACTAGCTAAGAAGTATTTGTCGTTTAATTAAAGAAAGATAAGAAGAGCATATATTTACATATGTTCCTGACCGGACTTGCTTCTTTCTGCCAAATGTCCGCCCGATAGCGAGAAACTCAAAGGCCCCGGCGGTAAGAAACGAGAGATGCTCTCTATCCTTTTCGCTTGCACGTGCAATGTCTGTTTAGAGTGTGTTTAATTTGCTGCGAGAGAATTTGAGAGGCTAGAATTGGGATATACATGAGTGCCTATACCGTACACCCCGCTGTACGGTGTAAGTCGTACAGCCGGTGTCAATTTTGTAAATATAGTGAAGATCACAATTTCTGTTAGATGAGCATTAGTGTACTGTTAATGAGCACTAGTCCAATTTTAATGAGTACTAATAGTCTAATAATGAGCACTGTGTCATTACACGAAAGCTGATAACACAAATAAAAAACGGTGACATTTTTGTAATTTCAGTGAAAATCGCAATTTTCATTAGATGAGCATTAATACACTTTTAATTTGCATCAGACGTATTCTACTGAGTATTAATGTCGAACAATGAATATTGTGATATCAACTTCATATATTGTAATGGAAAAATTGAAAATAATAATCTCAACTATTGTCGGTCCTCTGATAAGAATCCCAACTATTGATTTTTTTTTTGTATAATCTCAACTATATGGACCGTCCGCCAATAATGGTCCATGACCAGTTATTACCTCCTATAACAAGTGAATTTTAAATAGAAATTAAGCGTAAAAATTAAAAGTTGGGATTATTTATAGGGATTACTTGTCAGAGAAATGATCCTGTCCAGCAACTTTCCGTCCGAACAGTGTACGAACATGGTCATTTGGGGCACTTCCCGGTGGAATTTTTTGATGAAATTTTTTGAGCATGTTCCTTACCAAGTCTAGTTTGTCCATACCAAATTACAGCTCAAAATTCGATCGGGAAGGCATTCAAATCATTTTTTGAAGTTGACTGCGTTTTTATATGTTAGCTAAAAACCTTGTTCTTTGCCTATTAGCCAGGTTTGATTGTTTTCTCCTCAGACAGTGTTATTGACGATTTGTCATTTGATTTGGTTAATGCTAATTAAGATTTTGGTGGTAAAAAAAAAAGCTCTTCATGATTTTACTACATGAAAAATGCAAGTTAAAAAGTGATTACTAAAACTAATTTAAATACTTAAATCGCAACTCAGTAGTAACTTAATTGGTGAAGGGCTGAGTAGCAAGGACAGAGAACTCGAGAGTCGAGATTATTCGGCCTCGTATGAATTAAATCTAAAATACGGAGTATATATACTCAAAAATCTGGTAATATTAATCTTACAATGGTTAGACATGAATAGAAGGATAATAACCCTACAACCTAAAGATAAAGTAGCAAAGATCGTAATCCGTATGAACGTTCAAGAATATGAATCATGTAACTTGTATGAGCAAATATGCAAAACATAAACCTAAACTGACTTTTGTAACACTTCGTATTAGTTTTCCAACTTTTAAAATACTTAGCTCACTCATTATTTATGTTAAAAAATGTTTTGAGGTACACAAATTGTGTACACATGTTTGTCCTTCATAGAAATTTTGTCTGTCATAGACTACTCAAAACCAGTTGTCTGTGACAGACAAAATTTCTGTGAATGATAGACAGGTGTACACATTTTGTGTACACATTTTGTACACCTAGCAAAACTCTTATAAGTTTCATGGTATCTTACTTTAGTGGATGCTGAATAACTCACCGAATTAAAATCATCACCGAGTACG